ACTCTCTACTGCATCAAAACAGCCCTCGCTTTGAATCACTAGCTGTGCTCTTATCATTATTGATGTTTTTTATAAGGTCAATGTCCCAATTATCGCTCGTTTAAGCTCCTGCTCCCACTCTATAATTGACTGTATTTACTCAAAAATAGAAAACTAATTGAAAATCAAACTACTTTTTTAAAAATAATTCATTAATCATTGTTAGCTATTGAAAAATATTTATTGAATCATGAAATCATACAAAAAATTTGAATTAAACAAACGCATTCATTGTCCCAATTATTGCTCACAAAAAATCAGTTGTCTCTATTATCGCTCACCTTATGTCCCAATTATCGCTCATACATTTAAATATATTTTTCCACAGACTTTCATAGCTGAGATGCAGTGAAACAAGAGTGAATAAGATCAAATGATCTTCATTTCATAAATAATGCAACGTATAATAACAGGAAAACCGATTTCGCTTAATGAAGTTATCCAGACAACGAGCTTTGCTTCCTCTTCTGTCACCAAGACACTGGTAGGGCCAGGCTTCTTTTCAGGATCTTGTTTTTGTTTTATTTTATCTCTCAACGTGGAGAATGACACTTGGTATTTTATACTGGCTTTTCTTACTGACAATTGTTTTAATTTAGCAGCAGCAACTGCTTGGACTAGGTCTTCTTTTTGATGCTGCATCCTTTTCACTTTCACATGTTTTTTTTTTACTTTTAACAACCTTGGCCTTCTTTTTCGACATAGCTTGAACCTACAATAGTGTATTTAATTTGTTTAATGCAACAAAGATATCTTACTTATAAAAAAGTAAGTACAAGGCATGAACGGTACTTACGTACGTGTTAGGTGAGCAGTATCTAGTACAGTTAGGTTATGTCTATGACAACATCACCGATCACCTTTTTTTTCACTGCACTATCGCAAATTCGTTTTTTCTTACACCTGGAAGTAATAGTTCAGGAGTTTTTCTATCGCCTCATATATAATTTAAACTATCTTAACTTAATTTACTCACCAAAAAAGCTTGAGAAGCACGCGTACTCTTGATAGGTAGAACAACAGTATGTTATGAAAAATAGCTCTGTATCAAAACAGTGAGACAACTTTTTTTTTTTGGCGGTAAATTTAAATTAAAACGAACTTTTGAATCACTACATATATCAATTAAATATCAAAGATTACGATGTAAATTTTGTAAACAATATCTTACTTCTAATAAATTATTAATAACAACAATAATACTTTACTGAGCGATAATTGGGACGTGAGCGATAATTGGGACATTGACCTTATTTTTGTTTCTATTTTATTTTGCTCTTATTTTTCTATTTTATACATTTAAGTTAAATATTTTGCTGCAATTTTTTGCTTTTAAGAAATATAGTTATAAGCTTGTTCATTCTAATGTAATTTGATTTTAGTCAGATATGGATCTTCCCCAAGACATAATAAACTTTTTCCAACATTTTTTTACACATAATACCACTATATAAGACTACTAGACACGGGCTCTTTTTCCCTTTTTCTTTTGCTCACTATACAAGTACTCTGTAGCGGCCGTCCCTCAAACACACAAGTACAACCATGTACAGACACACACGCACGCACACACTACTGACTTCGTATGTATTTACATGTATAGACAGTCAGCCACACTGCGGCAAGTCAGTAGGAAATAAAAATATGTACAAGTCACGGTGTCAGCATATATACCACGCTGTCTGTTTTGACACAGCGTGTGTTTAGATGATTTCTTACCTAGGGCAGAAAGTACATCTTGTGAACGACATTTTTTGTATCGAGGGCGGAAAGTGCTACTTAGCGCCCGTGGGCACACTTTCTGCCCGCTGATTACTTTTCACCCTAGAAGTGTGAAATAAACTTTCAGACCGGCAGGGCCAGAATGTTTCTTCCCGCCCATGGGCGGAAAGTGCGCCCTAGGGCACAAAGCACTTCACCCGAGGGACGAAATGGTAGTTTTCCTACGAGTTTGAAAAGTCTTTGTTTGTGAACCGAGAGGTTTGCGGCCCGAGCCGAAGGCGAGGGACGTAACGAGGTTCGTAAAGGAGACTTTTCGAACGAGTTCCGGAAAACTGCTTTTTCGCCCGAGGAAGTACCAGCCTCCCAAAACCACCCGAGGGCGGAAATGGTAGTTTTCGTACCTGGTGGCGCATGTCACCAGGACAAACATAAGTATCCCAAGGTTGGGCTACACAAAGTAGCCCAAGGTAGGAAAATATATTTTCCGCCCTCGGGTGGTTTTGGGAGGCTGGTACTTTCTCGGGCGAAAAAGCAGTTTTCCGGAACTCGTTCGAGAAGTCTCCTTTACGAACCTCGTTACGTCCCTCGCCTTCGGCTCGGGCCACAAACTTCTCGGTTCGCAAACAGAGACTTTTCAAACTCGAAGGAAAACTACTATATTTATTCCCATATTATCTGTGCGTGACACCATAACTGTAATACAATGTAGTTATTAATGTATGTTTATTGAACCATCGGAGGAAAACATATAGCATGATGAGAAGAAAGTTATTATAATTATTTAGAATCGATTCCAAAATTATTTTACGACAACAGAACTTCAAAATACTGAAAAAACGCGGTTCTTGAAAGGAAAAGAAAGATAGGTCTAAGATAAGTATTTTTATGGGTTGCCCACAAAGAAACGAAATCATCGAGGCACACAAAAATTTGAATTTCAATTTATTATTAAGACAAAAGACTCAGGGACTTTATCACCTTGGTCAATAAATACAAACAAGATCATGGTAGGACTTGCGCGCAAGCAACAACCTACAAGGTGTAGCAAGTTTCAATAACAGTTGTAATTATAATAAAATAATAAAATTAATGATGATAATAAAAATGAGAATGAATAAAAAATAATAATGATAATAATAATGATAGTAATTATGACCAATACAACATAGTAATAATAAAAATAATCACTAAACGATCAATAAAACTAATTTACGAATGAAAAAATGGTATTTTTTATAATTAATTTTTAATTATATTATTAAGAGATGTCTCGAAAATTAGGCAAAGAGACATTTAGTTTAGAAAATATGACAATTAGACAAAATGTCAATATTAAGTGAAGTGACATACTTTTTAGGTGTAATGTCAAGCATACAAATTTATATAAATTTCAAAATTAGGCGAAAAATCATAAATAAAGGCAACAATTTTTGTCAAAAATTGGAAGATATATGTCGTGAATTAGGCCATTTGACAATTAGGCGAAGTATCAACGTCCAGTTGGATTTTGTTAAAGAACGAGTGCAAGGTAATAAAATACTACCAGTGTCATACAAAAAATAAGCTGCACCAAAAAACGAAACAAAACTTGACCGTTTTTAGATTTTATTTTCAGAACTGTACAAGGTAAACGATTCAGAAATACAATTCATTGACACTTTATTAAGGCTCTAGAAATTTCCGAAAAATTGATTGAATATGTCAAATTTCCCAAACCTTTTATTTTTCTTAAAAGTTAAATTTTACGGGGATCGATAAAATCACGATAACGTAGACAGGTGCCAGTGACGTTGAAGATGTTATCAACGCATATGAAGCTGATTAGAAATAATCGGAAGATTCGACGAATGCAGGTAGTCTCCTAATAGCCGGTATGGCAACACTTTGTGCTATTGATATACTCTTCACTTTTCTAATCTATTATTATTTTTAATTATTCATTTTTTAAGATTAAGATGTTTATTGAAACCACACTCAATTACCGTATATCTTCATTCCTACTACAAGATTCGTACAAGTGGGTTATCGTATTGGGTTATTCTAAATATTATTTCATAAAAAGTATATCTGCATTCTTATATTTACTGCCAAAGAAGTAAAACTTCATGCATGGGTTCCAAAGCACCCACTGACCACTGGTATGAAATTGAGACATTTCATAATTTTAAACTGTTTTCTGAAGTTGCACTGTTTTTCGTCAAGTAACATGTAATGGCACTTGTCATATTTCAAGTATTCCAACAATTTTAATCTTATTTTAAGATGAAATGTTTATGTTTGAAGTAAAAAGTATTGATCCAAAGTAGGGGGTATCAAAGTAACAAAAATAAATTACCTGACTCATTGTAGGTAGAAGTGTAATGGTGGTTGAAGATGGAGAACGCAAATCAATGTGAGCTCTTGAGAGACCAATCAACAGCTTCACTCATCATCACAATATGATAAACAAGCCGTAACATTTAACCGCATCATTAGTTTTTGGATCGGCTACAAGCGTTGTCAATCATGGTGGCTCGATATTTGAGTCAAACGTGTGACTAGAAATTGATATCGCGATTTCGCGTTCAAAACACTCTTAACAATCTCTGTTAAGTGACAAATAGCGACGTCGGCAGTGCATTTTCACGTCGGCGGATTGCAGCATGCCCTACTGTATACCGCCTAATACTTGGCTCCGCGTTCACCTCATTGCCAATCAATCAACGCCTGACCGACGCGACGATGTGACGATCGGCAATAAGTGTCTCCGCACGCTAAGTTACGTCGCGATTGAGTGTGTCTCTGTACGTATCAAGACAGAGCCCACACAATAAGATCGGATCGAGAAAACGAAGCGTACGATACAATATGGGTAATACTGGCTTGAAGCGCCAGAATGCCCAATTGCATGACCACAAGCAAATCTGCATAATCATCATTATCATTATTCTTATTTACTACTAACATTATTATTGTTATTATTATTATTATTATTATTATTATTATTATTATTATTATTATTATTATTANAGTCAACGCTGACCACACTGCACAGTAAGTAGCATTTTATTTGGATATCCAAAAATAGTTCGTAAGCGTTTACGGTTATAGTTTTGATAACGATAGTTATTAATATTGATACAAGATAACATTGAACTAGCCATTCCATTAAAAAAATAGTATTAAAATATCTTATAGTTGTTATTATCGCGCTCGCGGCAATTGCTTTCAGTATCGACGTCATTAAACCAAGTACTCACCAGAGCAAGAGTTGATACCTTAAGTATATGATGTTCACAAGTGTTAGTTAATTAATATCCTTTGCAGTTCTGCTAAACACAAGATTTAATACTGATTTTAATCAAGTTCTGATTTTTTATTTATTGAAATTTTATTCTAAATAATCAGATGATTTCAATCGGTCCTATTGACTTATGACAGTTGGCTTATTTGATGTAACTAAAAAAACTTCTATAAATAACTTGGTATTGTATTAAATACTTCGTTCCTACTACATTATCAGTCACTATAATTAAAAACTGCAATANAGTTGGCTTATTTGATGTAACTAAAAAAACTTCTATAAATAACTTGGTATTGTATTAAATACTTCGTTCCTACTACATTATCAGTCACTATAATTAAAAACTGCAATAATACATGTTTTATAGTTATCTTCCCGATTTTTAGAACATCAATTTCTGTAAGGCATGACTGCAGAAAAGAGGTTTATACCTTAAGTAACAGCATAAACAAGCATCCAAATTAATCACATAAGACTCGCTTTTTCTTCAAAAGCAATTCAATTGATTTCACTTTTGGGTTTGATTTACTTTAAACGTATGACATTCATTTAATTTGAAAGATTACATGTCACCATTGAAAAATATTCTTGAAAATCGACATTGGCAACTGCAATATACACTCTCCATACTGTAATCCATTGGTATAGCGTATCAATAACTAAGGGTCTATATTCTAAAGGAGTACGTACTACAAAGGCAGAGGCACGAAAACTTATAGACCAAGAGCTGAGGCCAAAGGATGGTCGAAATTTTAACCAGCAGCCACTTTCACCAAAATTGAGCAACCTTATAGTTATATAGCAATGATGCGTAATTATAGCATCAGGAGCCGTACCATATAACTCTTTCCGCGTCGCGGGCCTATGTTTTAACATAGGCCCGTAAAGCGAAGAAAAGTTATGTGGTACGGACCCAGCAAAATGACCGGTTTTTAAAATTTTTTAAAAAAATAATTGCGTTTTTTAAATCAGCGAGTAAGTTTCGGCTGGAAAAATTTTTGTGATATACGTTAGGTGAAATCTTTCTGTTAATCGCAGTTTGGTTTGGTTAACAAACAAAAAAAATAATTTTTTTTTTTTTTTATCGACTCATATCTCGGTTCTCAATAAATGGGGAGCATTAGTTTGAATGGACAAAAGGTTGAAAATCGCTTCTACTGCAATGCTACTAAGTGTCATCCGGTTATTTTGCTAATGCTATAATTACGCATCATTGCTCTAACTATTATGATTCGTGGAGATCCGAAATATTTTGGTCATATTTCAAAGTGGTTAAGAGTTATGTGGTAATTATGGTAGTGCCGTATGATCTTTCTTATTAACTAGCCGCAACTTACACCAATAGATAGCAAATAAAAAGTTGTTACCAAGAAAGGCCATTTGCGGCAAGATTTATATGTATCTTATACCCGAAAATTGACCTCCAAAAAAATAGACATTGTATTCTTATCTACAATGGTATTTATAATGCTTCATATATTATCTTAGATGAGTATTATAGATGAGATCGGATGGGGAGTCTATTGGCATTATGCCTCTACCACGTGACCTCAGTATATATACAACTAATGTAAAGGGAAAATAACTCAGGTCTTATGGGAGGAATATTGTTTTCATTTTTTTTCACACTTAAAAAGATATTGAGCTTAAAAAGGTTGTTAATTCCATGTTGCTGACATAATGAGAGTTACGTAGTTATTTTTTTCTTTTGATGAATTCGTTCATGAAGGTTGAAACAGCGTTTTGAACGTATGCGGAGTGCTGTTTAACCCTACTGCTGCTGATGCTCAGAGATAAACAAACAGCTCAAAGTAGGGTTCATGGCACTCCATATACGTTCAAAACGCTGTTTCAACCTTCATGAACGAATTCATCAAAGGAAAAAAATAACTACGTAACTCTTATTATGTCAGTAACATGGAATTAACAACCTTTTTAAGCTCAATATCTTTTGAAGTGGGAAAAAAAATAAAAACAAGATTCCTCCCATAAGACCTGTGTTATTTTCCCTCTACATTAGTCATATATATACTGAGATCACGTGGTAGAGGCATAATTCCAATATTTTTGAAGGTCGATTTTCGGGTCCAAGATGCATTCTAATCTTGCCAAAAAATGGCATTTGCAGTTGACAACTTTTTATATTTAATCCATTGGTGTAAGTTGCGGCTAGTTAATGAAAAAGACTATACGGCACTACTATAATTACCACATAACTCTTCACCACTTTGAAATATGACTGAAAAATTTAGGATCTTTACGAATTCTAAGGTTCCTGAATTATGGTGAGAGTGGCGGCTGGTTAAAATTTTGACCTACCTTCGACCTCAGCTCTTGCTCTGTCGAGCATATCGACGCCTCGTACGAAGTCTAGCCTTGTTAACATTTCCTTATTTAAATTAACATTGGAAAATCTAAATGAGGATAGACTTCGTAAGTTCGTACGAGGCGTGGATATAGGTTTGTTCATTTATCCACCTTGGAGCGCTCCGAGGCCTCCGAGCGATCTCTAAATGAACACGAGTTCTTTTTCGGAGCACTCGGAGGCCTCCGAGATATCTTTATACTATATAGGTAAACTCACCGCTTATAACTGATGTTTGTAAACACTGAGCAGTTTTAGTGNTTATCCACCTTGGAGCGCTCCGAGGCCTCCGAGCGATCTCTAAATGAACACGAGTTCTTTTTCGGAGCACTCGGAGGCCTCCGAGATATCTTTATACTATATAGGTAAACTCACCGCTTATAACTGATGTTTGTAAACACTGAGCAGTTTTAGTGAGTATACCTATATAGTATAAAGATATCTCGGGAGCCGTACCATATAACTCTTTCCGCTTCTTCGCGGGGCTATGTTTTAACATAGAGAGAGGTGCGCGTATTTTACCTCTCTCACTCTTGTGGGCTCAAATGGTTACGCGGTACGCGTTACGCTCTCCATGTGACCGCGGCCTCTGACTGTTTGTCAAATACTAATGAATCGAGCCCCGAGATGTGAGCTGTGCGAAAGCCACAGACACAATGGCACAATGGTGCGCTCGCCCTCTAGGGCTTTGATCTTCGATATCAGAGTCAACGCTGACCACACTGCACAGTAAGTAGCATTTTATTTGGATATCCAAAAAGAGTTCGTAAGCGTTTACGGTTATAGTTTTGATAACGATAGTTATTAATATTGATACAAGATAACATTGAACTAGCCATTCCATTAAAAAAATAGTATTAAAATATCTTTAAGAATGTGAGATTACCACATATAATCCAATAAAGCGAAAATTGGAATCAATATTAAACACCAAAGATTAAACCTAATTAAATGCAAAAAAAAATTATCAGACATTAAAATATTAATTTCAATACATTAAAAGCCCTGATGTAATTGCTTTTTAAAATGCTCATTGAATAAGCTCTTTGTAAAAGTAACTAGAATTTCCAGTCACAAACTTATTAAACAAATTAAGGAATTGGATTTACGTGTTCATCCTCATTAATCATTTTTTTGGCTGATTCAATAAGCTTACATTTAATGGGATCTTACAAGATTTTAAAAGTCGTTTTCATTTGGAATTTTGTTGTAATAAAATTGTTGCGCTTGCTATTATTAAAGAAAAAATAACTTTTTGTCGGCATTAAATGTTGTGACATCTGTAAGAGTATGTGAGTGACCCAACTTACCGATCATCGTCTTCGATGTATAAAAGTTGTAAATTCTTATTTTACAAATTATATTACGAACACAATATATTGTAACAATACTTTCTTACGAAAATGTCGGTAAATAATTTTTTTCCTCAGTTTAACATATTATTTAGAGATTTTTAAAACCAAAGTAAATTTAAACTTCGCCGGGATCTTCCAATCTTAAGTAAATAAGATTGCATGTAAACGCAGCCTAACTTCAGCACATTTTATAAGATATTTTCTCTTCTGACGTCATCATGCAAAATGGCGAGGGCTGGGAGACAAAGTTTGAATTCACACACTAAGTTTAATCGCGACCATAAAATTTATTGAGATATTCCGATCCAGTTACTCGGTTTAATTACAAAAACTCCTCCATTTCACGAGCTATCAATTGGATATCAGATATACGCATACCTCAATAAATTTTATAGTCGCGATTAAACTTATTGTGTGAATTCAAACTTTGTCGGCCAGCCCTCACCAATTTGCATGATGACGTCAGAAGTGAAAAAACCTTGTAAAATCTCAGGTTCAATTCAATATAACCGAACCTTCAATCCGACACTAATACTAATCGCTATCTCCCTTGTATCCGCTACGTTCGCATCAACCTCAACACCGCAGGTGGCCAAAAGACAAAGCGCTACAGGCAGAATAAAGTCCAATAAACACAACTGATCGCTGGGTGGAATGCATTGTGATAGTGGTATTTTTATGATTTGTATCACAAGTAATTAAGATTGCGCACTACTGGATCAAGAAAATTATTATGTTGGATTATTATGCGTTGATTCATCTTGACAAGTAAATGTGAATAAATATATTTATTTATATTATATTTCATTGATACAATTGGGATGATAAATTTTTTTTTGTAACTAGAGCTCCATCGAATATGTTCGAAAAATTATCGTGAACTGACACCGGCAACAGCGAGGACAGCTCAAAAACATCATAAAACCAATGCAGAAAGCTGTACCATTGAGGCAGTTTCAGAAGCTTTTCAACTGCCCTATCCAAAATATCAGTGATGAATCGACGCTGAAATCAGTCATAAATTACATCGTTGGTTCTGCGTTTTTTCTATGTTGAATCAATGCTGATTCAGCGTTAAATCAACGTTGACTTATTATAATCTGGAGAACATGTTGTTGTAACAGGTTGTAAGCTTCAAAATAATCTATTTTAATTGCAAACTGCAATGCTAACATGGAACATGCACTGTTTTAAAGTTAATTTTATTATTGTTTTCAACACGCTGATTCAATGCTGAATCAGCATTGATTCAACATGGAATAAACTCAGAATCAATGATGTAGTTTACGACTGATTTCAGCGCTGATATTTTTTATAGGGTGATGACGCAGTAAATTATATGCCCTACTTTATACACTCGCTGACCTTCTTCATACGGCCTAACACCATCGCCAATATATTTTACTACTTTATTAAATCCTACATAACAACTTTCTGGATTCCTTTTGAGCGATGTTAATTATTTTGATTACAAATAATAAAAATACTACCATCACCAAGCATTTTACACAGTGAT